GGTACATGCCCTTGACCGGAATCGAACCCGGGACCCCTCAGTCCGCAGGCCAATGCTCTATCCACTGAGCCAAACCGGTTCAGCTTACCCTGTACTTTTAAAAATCTAAATTGTTTCTCAACATTTACAAGTCAGGAGATTTCATATATAATGTTATTAATCCTGAAAGATCCGATGGTCTGGCAAGGATGAACCCCCATTTCCTCACTGCAACAACTGGGCAGCAGTTCTCAACCCTCCCAGTGCATCAGAAACCACCTGGGAAGCTCTGAAAAATTACCAGCGCTGACACTTGGTCATTCCAGGAAGAGCCCAGCATCTGTCAGAGGGCTCGGATGTGCTACAGGTTGAGACTCATGGGCCTAGGATTTTATGTTTGGCGTATGCTCCTCATGTAACCACAGTAGTCAAATGTACTGTATGTTCTTCCAGTTACCCTCATCCTAAAAGGCTCTGGAGGTCGAAATCCTACTTAAATATCCCCCGTGTAATCTTGTTTAAGCCACAAAACTAAAGAAGGGTCCACTTAGGCAACATGAACTTTATTAGCTACACACACGCTGATCTAGTGTATCTAAAGGATGGTCAGTAGACCACCTGTACATCCAAATCTCTTATTAAAATGCAGGTTTGCAGGCATGTCCCAGACACACATATCAAACACTCTGAGGATGAGCTGCTTCTGCCCTGTAAACACTAAAAACCAGTGGTGGTTTCCAGGAAGGTGCTGAGGGCTCTCTTCACCTCCTGCTCCTGCAACCATCCACCTGACCAGGAAGAACCCTGCTGTGTTAGGGCCATGGCAGTATTTCATTGAACAGAGCAATGGGATTTAAATCGCTTTACATTCTCTCACTTGTGTCTGCACTTGGCTTGCTCTCATTGGATTGCTTTTCCTTTAGAAAAAGTATTTGATTCTGCTCTTGGCCTCTCTATTGTCCGTTGGGCTTAGGAACATTACAGACTTTTTGCCTCCCAAATAAGAAACAGAGGCAAGGAGACACAAACCCTCAAGAACTACTTCCTAGTCTACCCCAAAGGGTTCCTTGCAGCTCATATGTGGTACCATTAAGCTCCCAGGGGCTCAAGCAGTACTTCTCAAGTGTGATCCACAAGCAACCTATATCCGTACCACTGACCAGCCAGACAAACACACTGATGCTGAATCTCACACCAAACCTACTGGATGAACGAGAATCTCTGGCAAGTGGTCTTGAGAAGCTGTACTTTTAACAGGCTCCCTAGATGATTCTTATGCACAGAAGTTTGAGAACCACTGATGTCCAGGTTCAACCAAGAGAAGGCCCCCTCCAGAGCTCCTCCAGGAGTCACAGGAACCAACAAGGCCAAGGTGACGAGAATGCATGTTAAAGGGTGGCTAGCATTCCATCTTGTACTCACCGTGAACCAGAATCACCTGGGCAATTCAGCACAGACTCGAATGACCACATATTTGGTTTTACTACAACTCAAGTTAGCTCTTAAGACAAAAAGAAGCGAGAAATACTTAAACCCCAAATGTTTACTAGCAGAGTCCTTCATACCATTAAGAACAGATTAGTTTCATGCCCAGAAAGCTTCCAATTATGTTTCATGCTACTTCCATTTTAAATGAATCCTACAGCATAAGCAGGGAACACCGCTAAGCTTCTCATATCCTTTCTATGCTTTCAAACACAGCGCGTCCGTTGCCTCTCCAAGGCTGGGTGATATTGCTAACCAACATGTGGCAAAGAGGCTCTCAAGCAGCGCGGCAAGTTCATGCCGGACTCGGGTAATCACCGCTCCCTCGAGGGGAATGTGCTCCTCAGGCTCACCTCTCCTCCGTTTCTGCTATCCGCAATCCCCCCTGGAGGAATTTACGGCTCTTGTCACTCGATTACACTCTGCTGATTTATAGTGCCACGCAGCCGTTCACATAAGGGCTCTCCATACACATTACTGGATTATGCCAACTCAGGTGATTGATTCCGGACCTCTTAATGTGCCACCAATCTAAAAACAAAGCTTTCAGCTCCTCAAACCAGGCTCCCTATCCACGCCTCGCACCTATTCTCTTATGAAAACAAAGCTGCAGTTAGAAGAACTAACTACCGGAGAATATAAATTATAAGTAAACACGGGAAACATTACAGATGACTGAAGGTCGAACACTCACAGCGAGGACAATCAGTATAAAAGTGAGAGTGACTCCACTTCTGCATGATAGAAAATTTCCCTTTACCATCACCTACACCAGGGCTTCTTAAACTTTAAGGTGCCTCTACATTACCTGAAAAATCATACCAGCAGGAAGACTCGGATCCAGATAGCCCACGCTCCTGCACTCCCCACAAGCCTTGAGGTTCTGCGGATGCTGCAAGTAGCTCTGCTACTTATAGTTGGTGGGGAATCAGCAGCACCTGGGAGCCTATCATAGAAGAATCTGGAGCCCACTCCAGCCCTAAGGAAAGAATCTGCCATTCAACAAGGCCCCAGGTGACCAGAATGCACCTTAAGGAGTGGCTAGCATACCATCTTGTACTCACTGTGAATCAGAACTACCTGGGCCTTTTTAAAACTACAAATGCCTACGCCGTATGGCAGAGATTTTGATTCATTTGGGGTATTTGATTTTTGATATGTTCCACACCCAGATGGTTCTAATGAGCAACCAGGGTTGAGAACCATTAAATTAAATGGGTGGAGGGAAATATGGAGTGACAGCTAATGGGTGAGGTATTTTTTTAATGTGTTTTTATTGATTTTAGAGAGAGAAAAACATTGATGAGAGAGACCATCAATTGGCTGCCTCCTGCATGCTCCTTACTGGGGATCAAGCCCGAAACCTGGCCATGTGCCTTCATCAGGAATTGAACCTGCGATTTCTGAGTACATGGAACGACACTCAACCAACAGCCACACCAGCCAGCGCTTCATTTTTGGATTGATAAAGATGTCCTAGAATTGATTATGGTGATGGTTGCATACTTCTATCAATATATTAAAAACCATGAGAATTGTATGCTTTAAATGGGTCAATTGTGTCATAAAACTGTTATATAAAAAAAAAATGAAAAACTTCAATAGCTTTCCTATCTTAAAATAAATAACCCTCAGTGAACAATAATGAAATGAAATCATTTTCTATCCTGAAACTCTGGCCCAAGAGATTGAACTTCTTTTAAAAAAGAGAAAAAACACAGATGTTCATATGACTCATCTAGAAACATTAAGATCTGCTCATCTACTCCTTAGGTTCAATTCTGATCAAGGTAATGAGTAAAGGACAAACCCGAAATAGAAACCTGTGCCTCGGGAGGCACCACTATGTTAAAAAGAGAGAAGCATATTTATCAATTTGGAAAGTTTACTCTGCACACCCCGTTTCCACAGTATTTTCATAGAGCAAATAATTTTATTCTTGCTTCTTCTATTTAAAATCAAATTACTGAGTTAACAAATAAGTTAAGGAATTTACTAATTCATTGTACTGCATCCTTCCAACTTTTCCATATGTTTGAAGACATCAAAAACATGCTAAGAAAAAAAAATATGTAAAATGCAAATCTGACCTTGTTTAAAAAAAAACTGGCTTTAAAAAATTCTGAATGTACTCATAAAAAATAAAAGAGATCGTAAATAGCACTAAAACTTCAGGAATGATCATTGTAACAAGACACTGTTGACTCAGTCTCAAAAGGAAAGCACTGTAAATCTACGTGAATAGGCAGCACTCAACATTTCAGAGAGACTCTCAGCTTCTGATAGCTGGTGTCAAATGCTCAAAACTGCAGGTGCTGTGTGCTCCAGCCAATGAGGATTCACAAGGATCTGATTTACTTTCTTTCTTTCTTTTTTTCTTCCCAAATATCTGGATATGTTTATATGATTTAGGGGGGGAAACAAATATGTTTTAAATATCTAAATAGTTAGTTGGAGGTCTTTTTAAGTTTCCATCTGGATGTTAGACATCAGAGTCCTCATTTTGCTTTCAAAAAACTCAATATTTAGGAGGACTCTAAGCCTCCCATACCTTTGCTCTGTAGCCTTTTAATACAAGGATCGACAGTAATTCAATGGAATGACAGTAGCTAAGATACAATGAAAATTGTGTGAGCCTTAGAGGAAAGTGTGCAAGGCCTACTGATGGTTTAAATCTACTAGGATGATCAGTCAACCAAGAGAAATCCATTCAAAACGTACTGCAGTCCTTCTCATCAGATCCCTCCCCACAATCACTGTGTCACAGAGCCAGGTGATTTACTTGCCCTATTGAATTGCCATAGCCCATTCGAACCATTTTCCACCGTGAACCAGTCCCCTTGTTTATGGTCCCAGGTTCTCATTCTTTAGAAGCAGGCACATTCCGGATGCATCACTAAACACAGTTCCTAGGACAATACACATTGGTTACATGGCATCCACTGGGGTCCTTTGCTCACTAAGTGGGAGTTCCTCTCTCAAGAAATGGCTTTCTAGGACCTTCAAGGCACCTTCACAAATAAGCCTGATGCCATCCTTTGCCCACACTCCCCCATAAAATCCAATGCATTTCACTGTCATTGCTGTGGTGTGGTTTTTCTTTATAAATAATTCGATAGATTACATTCTATAGATGACAAAAAAAGGCAAATCAATGCTAGTAACTACCGACCTTGCCCTGGGTAATAACCCCTTGCTAGTCGCCTATTCGTCTTCATGGTGAGGAAGTTTACCCTCCTGCTGTAAGTACATTTGCTCAAGCTCTGAAATAACTGTTCTTAACGGATTAGCATGTCTCAGTTCATAAGCTCACAATTCACACAATAAAAAATATGTTTTTTAAAGAAAGGGAAAAAGGCTTACCTAATAGAATATAGATCCTGAATATTCTTCTCGCCAGCTTGTCCTTCCTTTACAGCTTGCATTTGTAATAATTTCATGATAGCTTTTATCAAGCCATGTGTATTCCTATATAAAGAAATGTTACAATATGTTAAATGTTATAGACATAAAGCAAATATTCTAATGAGGGGCTTAATTCTACCACTTTTAAATAATTGAACACTTACCACCCAGAGTGAACAGTAGCCACCCAGCTCGTTCTACATCACAGCCAAAAAGAGGCCCACAAGCAGACAGCTCCCATAAAGGAGAAGTAGAGCCGAAAAAATCAGACCACCAACTTTTCAACAGCCTAACTCACTCTCGGGGTAAAACCAATCAGGAAAAATACAAACATTAGCCCACATAATTGCAGGCAGTGACCACATCAGTTCCCCATACTGAATAATCAAGCCCTTCATTTATAAATATTAGCAGACCATGAATTATTATTCTAGACAATGAATAACCAGATATATGAAATGAATCTGGTGGGCCAGGAGGCCAATTAGAACAAATAAGCACCATTAAAACAAAGCTAATGGGAGCAGGGAATAGAACTTTAACTTTTTCCTTATTCCTGTACGAGAATAATATATCAAAAAGAAGACCTATGATTACTTTTTTAAATTATGAAATGGGATTTTTTTCCAGCTCTAGCTTTATTGAAGTAAAATTGACAAATACAACTATAATATATTTAAAGTGTACAATGGGATATATGTACTGTACTAGTACACTGTGAAATGATTGCCATAATCAAATTAATTAATACATCATGACCTCACATGGCCACTTTTTATTTTATTTTTTACTGCAGTAGCCAATACTACAGTGATGTCAATAAAGTAGGACTTTTGCCTCTCTTCCTCCAGCTGTGTCCTCTACCCAGCGAGGGACAGGAAGATGGGGAAGCAGGTGGAGGAGAGCAAAGGAGCAGTAGTGGTCCTTCCCTCATTGCAGTTTCCCAGTCAATTCACATTCTCTCAATTTATGATAATACTTATTTCTAGTTTTTTATTGATTTTACATTTAAGTTAATACTTTTGGAATATATTTAAGTACTATACAGTTAAATAATTGTCCTGATATCATTTATTGATTTTTTTTTGGAAGGGGGGGGAGGGTAAGAATGCTTAAGATTTACTCTCAGCATATTCCAAGTATACAATACCACATTGTTAGCTATTGTCAACAAGCTGTTCGTTAGATCCTCGGAACTTAGTCATCTTGTAACTGGAAGTTTGTGCCCTTTGGCCAACCTCTTTCCATTTTCTCTACCCTCCCACCCAGCCCTTGGCAACCACCAATGTACTCTTAGTTTCTATGACTTCAACCTTCTTTTTAATTTTTTTTTAGATTCCACATGTAAGTGACACCATATTTTTTGTCTTTCTTTGTCTGGCTTGTTTCACTTAGCTTAATGCCCTCCAGATTCAGCCATGTACCCATGTTGTCACAAATTACCCTACCCTTTTTCTGTAAGTGATTATATTTCAGTCATGGTTTTTAATACTTCAGCGCATTTATTGTAAGCTACATATTCTCCTAAGTGCTTACCATGTAATAAATTGTCATTTGCTATCCAAAATAATAGTAGGTTACAAATCACTGTTAACCTTATTTTGGGGCTAGGACAAGGACTTGGGCTTAATTAAGTGATATCAGTTGGTGCAATTAAGTGAGGTGTGACTGAATGGACTCTTTTATGGCATTTAGAGTTTTCAAACTGTATTGGCCAACACAGTGGCCAATAGCCATAGGTGGCAACTGAGCATTTATAATGCAATGAATCCAAATCGAGATGTACTGTAAGTATAAAATACACGCTGGATTTAAAAGACTTAGGACACACCAAAAAAATGTAAAATATCATGTATAATGTTTTATATTGATTACATATTGAAATAATATTTATGATATGTGGAGTAACAAAAAATACATTATTAAAATTTAAAATCCCCTGCCTCATTAATTTTTAATGTGGCTACTAGAACATTTTAATTATATATGCAGCTCACCTTTGTGGCTCACATTATATTTATACTTCCCAGCTCACCTGGAGATATTAATATGGTTTAGCTTTAGTTCTTAAGAAGGTTCTTTGGCGAGCACTGAGGATTCCCTTACAGCCCAAGCATTTCCCACAATCTTTCCCATAGTACATTTTGTCTTTCATGTGGATCTTCTTATGACCATGCAATGTAGAGTCATGAATGAATCTTTTGTGAAAGATATCACACGTATATGGTTTCTCTCCTGTGTGGATTCTCTGGTGAACATAGAGTTCTCACTACCATGTTCACATGAAGCCTTTCCCCTAAGATCCTCTCTCCTACATGTGTTCTCTGATGGATGTCAAACTGAGAGTTAGGTTTCCTCACATACAATACCTTGGTATTGTGTCAATTCCATGGTACTTTATTTTACCTCAAAATATGGCCAGCTAGTCCCATTGTCACTCAATAAAAATTAAGAAGTATTATTTTTAAGAGACTGGAGAGAACTGGAGCTATCTGAGGAAGAGCTGACTGCAGGGCATCTCTGTGAGCCCTCCTGGGGACAGAGGCATTGCCTTCTTTCCTTCCTTTGGGATTGTTCACATTCTTCTGACAACCGTCTCTACTGACACTCTGAGTTTCTAGAATCCTCCTCCTCTAAGCTTAGGAAAGATATCTCAACATCCAAAGTTTTAGAGTAAATTCCTTCTTCATACCACTCACTTTTACAGAGTCAAATACATTCTATAGCGGAGGATCCTGGACTTTAAGGAATGCTACCTTTCCGCATATCCTCCAGCTCTTTACAACCCTTCACACTCTCTTTGACAAAGACCTGGAGATCCTTCCGCATGGAAATCGTAATTGTTCTGTAACCAATTTATTAAGAAGCTACTCCTGGGAATGAATGTCTGGACTTAGTCACAGAGGGTGGAGCTGATAGAGGCTCCTGGGAGTTTCAAGGCAGTGTGACTCCTCCAAATATATAAATTTGCTAACTCACCAGACATCAGGGTTGCAATCTAGCTTTTTCAAAGGTAGTTCCTGAGATAATACCAACCCCTATGGCTCTGACCCAGGCCTGTGCCTAGATGTTATACAAGACCATGAAATCTCAGTCTGTATCTATATTTAGCAGATAAATTTCAATTGTCAGGTGTGAATGAGCAGTTCCCAGATTGCAGTATCTGACTGAGACCTGTCACAGGGGCTGACACTGGTTTGCGTTGGTCAGAGGGTCATTACATGTTCAGAAGCGTCCTTGTCTTCGAGCCTTCAATGTTCATGCAGTTGGAAATCAGCTGTAATGTCTGATTTAAGCTCAAATGACTGCATCAATAGGGAGAAAGCCCACGCTGCACCAAGTAATCACATGAGGCCACTTCTCCTGGGTCTAATGATTAGCTTAAACATTATTCATTTTAGATGATTAGTGTTAATTGAATTTATGACTGAATTTCTTCCAAGAAATATGGATTTATTAAATACAGGATACCTTGGAGATATTATGGTTCGGTTCCAGACCACCATATTAAAGTGAGTATCACAATAAAGTGGGTCATAATCTTTTTTGCTGGTGGAGGGGCTTGTCTTCAGTTTGTAAAAATCATATTTGTGAAGCACAATAAAATTAAGTATGCCTGTAACCTTTTTTTGTACATGAAACTATATTGGTTTTCCTTTTCTAATGATTTGTCACATGACTAGAGTTTTAGAGAGACCGATAACAGACCTATGATTTTAACCAACATGGACCACCTACCTCTTTATGAAAATAGTAGTATCCCAGAGAAAAGTACAACATATCATATTTGCATTGAATTCCAGGGAGTTCACAGAACCACTGAGGCTAACAAATGGACTTCAGATTTTTAATCTTTAAGTTAGGTCTTGCTTGGTCTTATTTATGAATCCAGATTTTATTGTGTGAATAATTGAAATCTTACTGTATTTTAAGTAAGAGTTAGCATGAATAGATTATGATTTTTGAAAGATATGGTGTCAATCAAATCACATATAGAACTATTCAAATAGTAACACATTTGCCCCAAATTCAATTGAATAATTATTTAAATTATTTAAATATTTTAAGTGGGTTGAGAGGGATGACTTCAGATTAATTTTTTTTAAAAATTGCTTTCAGAGAGGAAGGGAAAGGGAAAAACAGAAACATCAATGATGAAAAAGAATTATTGATCTGCTGCCTTTTGCATGCCCCCTACTAGGGATCGAGACCATAACCTGGGCATGTGCCCTGACCAGGAATCAAAACCTGACCCCCTGGTTCATAGGTCAATGCTTAATCACTGAGCCACACTGGCCAGGCAATTTTTATGTAAATCCTTGCTTTAATTCTAATTAGCTAGGTAATATTGGGCAAACCACTTAACATCTAGGATGATAACAAGCTCAGCTCTTGTCTTGTATTTTTGTTGTTGTTGTTGTTAATCCTCCCCCAAGGATATTTTTCCCATTGCACAATTTTGTAAATAACTAAAAGTGAGTTGTACACTTTTAAAGGGTAATTGTATAATACATGAATTATATCTTCATTAAGCTTTTATACTTTTAAAGATAAAGCATAAGAAATAATTGATGAGATAGATGTAGAGTACAAAAAACTTAGGTCAAAGTGAATACCAGAAGAACCTACAGTCAAGTCTTTAGCATTTTTCAAATGTGGCTATAAAGATTAAAGTAATTTTTAAGAGAGAACTGGTAGGAAAATGTGAAAAAGAACCCCCCCAAGGTCAATGGGGGAAAAGGAGGCATATGTAATACTTTCAACAATAAAGAATTATGTTTTTAAAAAAGAACTCCCCAAGAAAGACAATCTGTAACTAAAATTCCCAGATACTATTAACAAAGTTGGTAAGAAGGGTTTCCAGGGGAGAGAAAACAAAATTAAAATTAGAGATAGTCTGAGAGAAAATATTTATAACATATATGATAGATAAAATATTAAGATCCATAAAACAAGAAAAGCAACAAAATAAGACAAATCATATATTAGAAACATGAGCAGAAATAGATATGCAAATCACAGAATAAAATTCATAATATCCAGTGTTGAGTGAATAAAGAAAT